TGTGTGATGGCAAATGCTGCGGCTGCAAGGCATTGTGGGGCAGCATTTTCTCCTCTCCTTTCGGTAAGGGAGGTTCAGTGGTTACTAAGCTAAAGGAGGTTATAAAGGAAGTTTGAAACCTCCTTTCCTATCATGTAGAGAATTTGAACGGCACTTATTATTAAGATGTATGCGCTCATACATCTTAAGAAAGTTATCACCAAAAATGTTCAGAATGTTTTTAAAGAACGTTATCCTACCTTTCAGAAGAACATTCTGGGAACCAAACTAAAACGTCCTGCTGAAAACGTTTTAAGAACAGTAGGGCATAATGTTCTAACAATGTTATCAAAAACATCTTAGAAGGTTATCAAAAACATCTTAAGAAGGTTATCACCAAACATTTCAAGAATTTTTTTAAAGAACGTTATCCTACCTTTCAGAAGAACATTCTGGGAACCAAAATAAAACGTCCCGCTGAAAACATTCCTAGAACAACGAATGGTAATAAACATTTCTAGCTGGGAACTCACACATGCCACCGCAAACATGCAATATCTGCTTACAGCTTATCATGAATTACGTGCTTGTTTGTTTTTTTCAAAAGGAAAATATGGTGACATCAGATTTTTTTTGCAACAAGTTTGTTTTTTAAAGCGCTCTAGAAATAAATCTGACATTGACCATGACCGTGTTAATATTTGCCATAACAGAAACGTTTTATAAAAAAATAATAAAATCCTGAAAACATTGTCAGAATGTTTCTTGGAGAATGTTCTTCATTTGTTATCATGTAACATTGAGGGAACGTTTTATAAAGAACATCTTTAATGTGTTACCCAACAACGTCCAAAACACATCCTTAGAATGTTGCAGGCAAAACGTTCCACCTTTGTTAACATATCACATTAAAGGAACGTTTTATAAAAAAACATTCTGTCATCTCAGGCCTCAATAACATCCTCAAAACATCCTCTGAATGTTGCAGTTAAAACGTTATGTCTTAGTTAACCTTAAACCTTATAGGAACATTATTTGAACAAATAAACATCCTAAAAAGGTTCTTTGAACATCAAATTAAAACGTTTCTTTAAAACCTTATTAGAACCAATAGGTAACGTTAGCCAAAGTTGTGAGAACGTTCCCCGCTAGCTGGGTACTATATCTTCTTATTCATTGAGAAAATGGCATAACTAAACAAATGAATGGTTGTTTCTGACAGTCCCAGTGGATGTAATTAGCAATGCCTTGCCAAATAACATATTTATTAATTAAGGAACTTCTGACCGAGACGTCCCCATTGGATAACAAGCTATCAGCATGGTTTCATTAGCATGAACTTTGATGGAGAGGTTTTGATAAAGAATTCAGATCACTTGAATGAATTGGAGGAGTCCTTCCGAAATGATTTATTCACTGCAGGGTGTAACATATGGATGAAATGTATTTGAAGACATATAGGAGATGAAACTGATACTGTATATGAATTAAATCCTACATTTGCATTTTGCTTAAACTCAAGTAAAACAGCATGGCTGTGTCAGTTTGTTGTAGGAGCTGACGGCTGCTGTGGAGTCGTGTGTGAACACTCAGCATTTGAGGGAATTGTCCTTGTGCAGTGCACCGAGTATCTACTCAAATACATGTAAGAAATCAAATGCAAAGCAAGTAATAATTGTTGCCATGTGCTTAGAAAATCCATTGAATGCCATAATGTTCCCATGTTTGATTAGGATTGGCAGCCCATCAAAGCTGGTCAGAGCTGCAAGTGTGAGCGAGCTGCCTGCCCCCCGCAGACTGCGCTGGAAATGTTCTCCAGAGATTCACAAACTCCTCGCCTCTTCTGCTGACAAACTACAGAGGTGTGGATTTACTCTAACTTCTGTCCAATCAATACATGAATAAATCCTCATCTTTTAACAGGGTTTCCTCTTATTTGCTCAGGCAGGTGAAAAATCTCGACATGAATGTCTACAAATTCTGCGATTATGGGAAAGAGTTTATCAAGAAGCAGAAAATGAGCCCTGACGCCTACATCCAGGTTGCTCTTCAGTTAGCGTTCTACAGGTAGGAGGAAGATGATTATAACAGGAGTGATTTTTGATCCTTCCTTTAACCCGGGGCTTGGAGCTAAAAGGCTTTCCCTTTGTGTGTTGCTCTACTGTAGGTGTCACAGCAGACCTGTATCGACCTATGAGAGTGCTTCTATACGCCGGTTCAAGCAGGGCAGGGTGGACAACATTCGCTCCGCCACACCAGAAGCCCTGACCTTTGTCAAAGCAATGACTGATGGGAAACTGCGCACTAGTGTAAGATACAGTAATACAGTCTCTTTCAAATTAATAATGCTTGAGTTTAGAAGTCTTAACTCAGTCTGAATAATATTTGCTTTTTAGAGCCTTATTTTTTTCCTTCTGTGTTATTGTTCTCTACCATAAAAACTATGCTAACTGTAAATAAAAGGATTTAATAGTCTGGCAGTTGATTCTCGATTGTTTGCATTTACAGGATACAGAAAAGATGGAGATGTTACGAGATGCTATAACCGCGCAGACAAAGTATACCATTCTGGTGACTATATTCTCTGACCTGATCCAAACCTGGATGTGAAACCCTTTTGGGCGGTGGTGGCGAAGTCGATAGGGACTTGGCTTGGCAACAGGAAGGTCACCAGTTCAAGTCCCGGCAAGACCAAGTACTACCGAGGTGTTCCTGAGCAAGGCACCGTTCCCTACACTGCTCCCCGGGTGCTGTTCAAAATGGCACCCGGGATGGGTCAAATGCAGAGAAACAATTTCCCCACGGGGATTAATAAAGTATATTAACAAAAAAATAAACCTATATCATAAGGTTGTCATAGAAAACACACTAACATATGGTTTCATTGTTCCTTTCAGTCTATTACAGGGATGGCAATAGACAATCACTTATTAGGACTGCGTGAACTTGCACATGAATTGAAGATGGAGAAGCCAGAGATTTTCCAAGATGAAGCCTTTCTCGTCAGTAATCAGTTCATCCTCTCTACAAGTCAGGTATTGCCTCCTGATTTTAACACATTACACTGAAGCTATATTTACGTGCATTACACAAATCTGAAGTTCAGTTTACACACAAGGAGTGCTGCTCAGCTAGTGAATACAGTCTATAATGTCCAGCGTGGCTCTGCAAAAACCTTTCTAAAGTCTACAAATAGCATTAATCAATTGTCGCAGCTTGTTCTGTATTGATGTCAGCATTTTATCAGAAAAGTTGAGCTACACACTTTAAAGTGAGAGTAAATAAGTCCGCATAGAGGAGCAGAGATGGTTCAATTAAAGTTGGGCTGCAACTAATTATTATTGCCATTTTCGATTGATCAGCCCAGAACCCTATGTTATATTCTATAATGTAAGAAGAGGAAAAAACGTCCTAATATCACAATGGATTACATGACAGCATGACATTTTTAACCTTTTAGCTAAAAAAAGAGAGAGTTTAACTTATATTTTAAATCACAACTCTCAATCATCTTATCTCAAGCTTTCCACCAACAGCAGTATTCACACTGGTGAAACTGTCTGTAGTTAAGTACTGAAGGATTCACTGTCCTCTCAGGTTCCTACTACTGTTGAGATGTTCTGCTGCTACGGACCCGTGGTTCCAAATGGATATGGAGCGTGCTACAACCCTCAGTCAGACCACATCATCTTCTCAGTGTCCAGTTTCCTTGACAGCCCACAGACATGCTCAGCAGAATTTGTCAAGTGCCTGGTGCAGGGACTCATGGACATAGGGGATCTGTGCAATACATGTAACTCCAGCTCCAATACAACACAGAAGAAACAGGGACAGACGCTGGAGACACACACGCAAACAGAGACAAACTGGCAAAGTAAAACACCGCAGAGACCAGCTGATAAGACCGAGAGTCAGCAATCACTGCCACAGTTTGTGCTGAAAACACCAGACCAGACCAAAGTGGAGGCTCAAACCCAGACTTCATCACTGGCAGAGACACCCGCTCTGAAGAACGAAAGTAAATCATAGGAAATGGTCACCGTCAGTGAAAATAGAGGTGGTGTTCGGTGCTACCACAATGTATTCCTCAAGTCATTCACAAAATACACTGTATCTGTGATGCAAATTGTTACGTAAAGCTGTTTGTTGTACTGTACTGTACATTGTATTAAGTGGCGATGATAATCTAATTGACTTATTCTTCGGGAATAGTAGAGATGTTTGTTATTAGATGTTTTCTGCTGTTGTCAAACACAAAAATAATATACAGCAGTCATTTAAATGTATGTCTATATCTTCTGTGTGAAGGGGGGGGAATCAAGCAAATGTTGAGATTAATTGTGTTATTTACCAAAGAAAATTGTATTATTGTAATTGTTTTATGGTCAATGGCTGATGTTCTCACTACGTCAACTTGCATGCTGCTATCAAATAATTTCCTGAAGATTAGGGTGCATTGTAAACTAGAATCTTCTATGCAATTTTCTGTTATGTTGTCTTCAAATATTTTGTCTATTGCACCAACAATACATGTGGTATTTCGTCCATAGGTTAAAAAAGAAGTATCAATTTATAAAAATCATTTGACGTTTAGTTCATAACTAAATCTAAAGGGATTATTATATGAAAGAATGTTAAATGTGACCAAAAGTGTGTTGTAAATGTAAGAGCATAATATATAAATGAAGTTATTTATTTTTGTATGAAATATACTAATGTTGCAAAGTCTAAATGTAAGTTTAAAAAGTAAGTATGAGAAACTTACTAACCAGAGGTGATCACTGTGTTTATTGTCAGAATTGTATGACATACCCTTAAAGATTAAAGAAAAAAAACTAAAGAAAAACTTGTTTGAGTTTGAAAGAATCTTCTCTGATGTTTAATCCATGTGAAATGTATAATAAAGTGAATTGAATTTAAGAAACAACAGTCATAATTAGAACCCCTTTCATTGAGTGAAATAAGCACCTTGTGAAATTTGTTATCATTTAAAAAATACAATCAGATTCTTGTGGTTCTCAAACTGACACTGAATATTTTATAACTGTTTTGATTCTTAAATTTGAAAAACTGACATTTGAGTTATAATTTCAGATTACATCGAATTCATTTGGTTAATACATTTTTTTTAACCAAGTGGGGCATTTGGGATTCCTGGATTAAGTTCGTAGGAAATCCACGTTAGCAACAGGTGTGTGACAGTTACCCGGGAGACCACAACAAACAATGCCGAAAAACGCGCGAGTGATACTGTGCAATGGACCTTATGAATCCAATGGAGTGGTTGCGCACAGGAACTTCCGCCTGCAGGGTCTCCTGGGTATGTGTCTTTTGTAATCCATTTAGGAAACCCTCATGTACTTTCTTGACTGATTCAGCTGAGGTCAAATATGTCCGTCCAATCTGTCCGCAGCCGCTCTGACAGTGCACGAGCACCAGTGCGTCTTGGAAGACACGTGGGAGTGGAACATGGTGAAGCTCGTGGTCAACGGGCAGGTGGTCTTCAGCTGTAATACAAAGCAGCTCGAGTTTGGTGAGTTTAGCTTTGACGTTAAGCGGGAGAGGGGGGG